AAGACACACAGTAGCTCTGTTTTAAAATGTCTAAATATTAAAAATTATTATTATTATTATTAATAACAATAATAACATTATTAATAAATTATAATTATACATATTATTCTATATTATTTTACATATTATTATTATTATTATTAATACAATATAAATTATAATGTAATTGTTGTAATTACTTTGTTTTACTATCTAATATTACTTTAAACCAGTTGATTTAAAGTAAAGTGAAGTGTTTTTCACAAAACATATTGCATACAATTGATCCAGAACACCCTAGCAATCACATAATGTGGGAAAAGCATTTAATAATAATAATAATAATAATAATTAAATAATAAAATATAATTTAATATGTAAACATGCCAAATTCAACCATTCAACCATATGCAACCATAACAGCAATTCAACATCATAATAATAATAATAATAATACCTATATAAGTGATTATTTAATAATTTAATATATATAAACATGCAAAAATCATGCCAAAACAACCAGAAAACCTTAGCAAAATGCTAAAATCCTCCCAAAACACACCATTATAATTTTCTTTAGAACATTTAATTTAACTCATATTAGGAAATGCATATGCTGGACAAACATGCAAAACTCCAGGTGAAGTCTGTGCGGAGTAAGAGAAGACATAAGGATCAGATCGATATTGGTGACTCTTGGGAGCTGGGAAAAGTGCTGTGATTGACAATCACAGGATGTGTTTTGGTGGATTCATCAAGCTCCGGGGCCGCAGTGTTTCTGACACCTGCACACCTGTTACGTGTCAACCAAACACCTGCAGGCTGATCTCTCCTCACTCTCTCCTTACCATCAGTAAACCGAGACTTCACATCAGCGGCATGAAAAACAAACTGTTCAATATCAATTATGCACAGAATGTGGATCAAACCAAACAAAAACATGTCCAATACTGGTAAACCTAAACAATAACTTAACCTCTTAACTGTTACTGGGTAACCAGTCTTACTTTTCAGATTCAAATTAGACTAATCTATCTTTTAAAACTGAATTTATGACCAGTCTCGAAGAAAAAAAAAGAGATGACTAACTTTTTAAGACTAGTCTAAGCAATTTATGTAACAGACCCAACCGGAATTTTTTTTTTACAAAATATTTTGGATTCTAAATTTGCTAGAAAATCAAAGCAACATGTCTAAGTGACAATATTACTTCTTCTTCAACAAAGATGTTAAAATGCACTATCTGAACTTAAATGGTTATAATTCATGAACACTTTGGAATACAGACCTAAGCCTGGTCTCTTTTTAAAGAAGAAAGTGACTGATTGCTGAAGTGGAAGCATTTCAAAAAATTAAAGTATAAAGTTATTTAATTTGCTGTAAAGAAATGCACCACAATATTTTTTATCTGAAATAAATATTGTACAAAATATTTTGTAACCTAAAATAGCTATAAAATCATAGCAATATGTCTAAGTTACATTCCGAATTTGAAGTTGATATCACAAAAATGGAAGTTCCTGTGAGATTGTTCAAAAAAAGCCGCTCCCAAGCTCCATTGAATTTATGCATTTTCCTGTCACGATATTACTTCTTCTTCTTCTTCTTCAGCAAAGATGTTAACGATTTTCACAAGATACATTTTGTGAAGTGTTTAAGCTTTCAAATGATATCTAATTTAATGATGATTGCTAAAATTTGTGATGGGTAAAAAAATGTAATAAAAAGAAAAAGTAATAGTAATAAAGATAACACAAAAAGAGTGCCAAGCGTCCCGATAGCTAGGCGCTGGCAGTTAACCAGTTAAACACCTCTGATTTACTAATGCATTCAGATGTAGTAAGCAAAATGCTCAACCACAGCAATAAGACACGCTGTAAGTAGACAAATTTGATGCAGCATTTGGATATTTGGATGCATACACATGACATTTATAGCCAAGACAAAACAGATTATATCTCTCACAAACACCCTGAGCTCATCTCATCGCACCCTGCTGTTCTTCAGCTCAATCATTATTCTCAATAATGTGTTTGCATTGCAGGTGTTTTTCTCTCCTGGCAATAGACAATCAAGTCTCTGTTTTCCATTAAAATATCATATTTGCCAGTGAAATACAGAAGAGATTTTAATCTGTGCTCTCAGTTACGGTTCACCTCGCCCTGTCAGTCTTTGGTGTTTTTCTCTTTCATCATAATTGATTTATTAACGTTACTGATCGCAAAATACGAGTCTACGCAAATGTCAAATCTGAAACAAAGCATATTCTCACACTGTTTTTCTCTTGATTAATGTTCAAAGAACCACAACAAATCAGCTGTAATAATCAGCGAGCGACTCCTCATGCATCCAAAAGCTCTTAAACCTCCAGCGTTCGTCAGTTTAATTCTGGCACCAAACACGCACCTCGTGCGGAAAGTTTAGCAGTTCGGGCAGCGTCTCAAGAGTTGCTCACAATTTTCCTCGCAGAAGCCCAAGGTGAATCTGTTATAGGTTTATGTTCGAGTATCAAATAAATATTTAAAGCAGAACATGACTGAAGTTTTGCTCAACAACTGATAACAGGCCTGTAACCTTCCAAACGCAAATCGCAAGACAAAGCAAAAGCCGTCTGGCGATTACGTCCGAATTTCCACTTCTTGTGAGAAAATAAAAATGTCCGCATGTGTTGATCTACATTTGACTAGACTCTATCTTTCCTGTTTTTCACCTCACACCACAGCTGATGGCCATGAGTAATGTCAGATACACACAGTACAATTTTGCTATCTCAGACTAAATTCATAGATTATAAAAGATTACTTCTGAGATTAAAAAAAAATATTTTGACTAAAGATGAACTAAGATAAACCACTTAGCAACACCCTGTTAACTCCTTAACAACCATTTAGCAACACCCTAGCACCCAAAACGCCCTTGAAACCACTTAGCAACACCCTGGTAAACACTTAGAACTCCCTAGCAACCGCTTAGCAACATACTGGCACCCAAAACACCCTTGAAACCACTTAGCAATGCCCTGGTTATTACCCAGATCATCTAAGTAACCGCTTAGCAACATCCTGGCAACTATGCAAAACACCCTGGAAACCACTTAGCAACGCCCTGGTAACCACCCATAGCATCTAAGTAACCGCTTAGCAACATCCTGGCAACCATGTAAAACACCCTGGAAACAACTTAGCAACATCCTGGCACCCAAAACATTCTAGAAATCACCTAGCAACGCTCTGGTAACCACCCAGAACACCTTAACAACCACTTAGCAACATCTTGGCACCCAAAACAGTCTAGAAACCACACAGAACACCCCTAGCAACTACCTTGAACAAGCAAACGCAACTCACATTTTCTTGAAAACATGTGAAAGTCTTGTTATGTCTGAGAGGACAGTTTATACAAGCAAACAATCCCTTACAATGTTCACTATACCCCTGTTCTGACATAAACGGCTGTGTTAGTGTTTGTCTTGAGAAACGGCACAGTGTACAGCTGAAGCAGCTAATGTGTGTGTGTGTGTGTGTGTCTGTGTGTGTGTGTGTGTGTGTGGTTCGGCCCCCTTCTGTTCTGTCCATACTGTGCTGCAAATGGGCCAGAGATTAAAATAACTCAGGAACACGGTGATGTCAGTTTTAAAATAATATCTCAGTGTCCTTTACGATGTTGGAGTTTGATTCTTAGCACACATGTGTGTTTGTACTCACTGTAAAGATCTTATTGTGGTTATCCAATGTCGTTCGTCTCTGGCAAGCGTACGGAGACACAGCAGACTCAGGTTTGGCTGACGGATGCGCACACGACCTCTGATCCACAGTGGGATTCTTCTCATAAACACACACACACACACACACACACACACACACAAAGAGAGAGAAAGACTCATAAATCAATCAGATGTTCAGTTGATATTAGATCAAAATAAACAAGTGGCATGAACCAGTTCACAAAGCCCAGAGCCGATCCTCCCTATACGCAAAGTACGCAAGCTGCATAGGGCCCCCGAAACACCAGGGGGCCCCCTTGCTCTCAAAGATGATTTAATTTTAGTTTCGTTTTTGAATTTGGCCAGCGGTTATGAAAACCGTTTATGTCATTTCTTTTAATGCGGTGCGCTGTCGCCCGTTCTACATAAAAATCAGTCAAATCATGTAACGTGAATGCCATACAGTGTCTTACATGAGACAAAAAAAATAAAATTAAATACAATAACAAATGTAGATTCTACAGCGTATAATACTTCAGCTTCATTCATCGCACCCAAAGATAAACTGCAGCGCTTTACAACTATAGGACAGGAAGAGCTAAATAAACTTATCACTGCATCTAAACCAACAACATGCCTGTTAGATCCTGTACCCACTAAATTACTGCAAGAGTTGTTACCTGTAGCAGAAGAACCGCTTCTCAATATTATTAACTCGTCGTTGTCTTTAGGTCACGTCCCAAAACCATTCAAGCTGGCGGTTATTAAGCCTCTTATTAAGAAACCACAACTAGATCCTAGTGAACTGGCAAATTACAGACCCATCTCAAATCTTCCTTTTATGTCTAAAATTTTAGAAAAAGTTGTGTCTGCTCAATTGTGCTCCTTCCTGCAAAAAAATGATCTCTATGAAGAATTTCAGTCAGGTTTCAGGCCCCACCATAGCACAGAAACTGCACTTGTTAAAATTACAAATGACTTGCTTCTTGCGTCAGACCAAGGCTGTATCTCATTGCTAGTTTTACTTGATCTTAGTGCTGCGTTCGACACCATAGATCATGACATACTCATCGATCGATTACAAAACTATACAGGTATTCAAGCGCAGGCTTTAAGATGGTTTAGATCCTACCTGTCCGATCACTACAATTTTGTTCATTTCAGTGGGGAGTCATCTCAATTATCACCAGTAAAATATGTGTGCCACAAGGATCTGTCCTAGGTCCTCTGCTATTTTCGATATACATGTTGCCCCTTGGTAATATTATTAGAAAATACGGGATGAGTTTCCACTGTTATGCCGATGATACTCAACTATATATCTCAACAAGACCAGACGAAACATCTAAATTATCTTACAGTCTCTGCACTGGCTACCTATTAAGTTCCGTATCAGTTACAAAATATTATTACTTGCCTATAAGGCCCTTAATGGTTTAGCTCCTGCGTACCTAACTAGTCTTCTACCACGCTACAATCCATCACGCTCCCTAAGGTCGCAAAACTCTGGACTTTTGGTAGTTCCTAGGATAGCAAAGTCCACTAAAGGAGGTAGAGCTTTTTCTCATTTGGCTCCCAAACTCTGGAATAGCCTTCCTGATAACGTTCGGGGTTCAGACACACTCCCTCTGTTTAAATCTAGATTAAAGACACATCTCTTTGGCCAAGAATTCAAATAATGCATATCATAATCTTGTACTGCAGTTATATCTGATCAAATGCACATTATTATTCTTTAGTTTGGGTTAAACAAATAAATTTTGCTTGGTTGGAACAGCAGCTATGCTAATTATGTCTCTATTTGTTTCTCTGTTTCTGCCACAGGATTGACATCCCGTGGTAACTAGGATTTACACAAGCTTCAGTCTGGATCCAGAACACCTGAGAAGAGATGATGCCAACCCCTCATAGGACCTCAGATGATGCCAACCCTGAAACAACATACAGAACTACCCAATTTTGCTATAAGTTTGATTGCATCATATAATAATTGCTGTTAATAGATAGAATCGCTTTAGAATAAAACCATAGAACCCATTTAAAAACCCATAGACTTACAATGAAGGAGGGTCCCTAGCAAACACCCAGAATACACATTGGCAACACCTAGAAGGCCTTCAAAACTACATAGAAAAGCCCTAACAACCATGTGGAATACCCTGGCAACTGCACAGCAACCACCCAGATCACCCTAAAAATGACAAAGTAACCGTATAGCAACACGCTAGCAACCACTCAGAATACTCTAGCAATGCCCTGGATACAACCTAGAAGACACAATTAGACACAATTACACACCAAATACCTAGAAACCACCCCGAATACAAATCTAGTAACCACTCTTGAAACTGCATAGCAACACCCTAGCAACCACCTACCACTTCTTAGCATCACGGCAGGATCTTTTGCGCAGGTAAACACTCACATTATCCTCAGAACACATGAGAGTCTGGTTACGCCTGCCAACAAATGTTTATCTCGTCACAAAGGAACAGCACGATAACGACAGGACACATCAGAATCAATTACAGCTTTATGATTTACAATTACAGCCAGCAGCTCCAGTTTAGCCCTCATGAATTGCCGTTTGATTATTCACCCCCTCCCGACTCACTAATGATTACAACTGTAATGTCAGCGCTCTGGGAATAATTGATGCGATTACTGTACATACCAAATACCAAGCACTCAGAATACCCAAGCAACTGCAAAGCCATATCATGGCAACCACATAGCATAGCAACACCCTAGCAACCGCCCAGAATACCCAAGCAACTGCAAAGCCATATCATGGCAACCACATTGCAACATTCTAGTAACTACCCAGAAACCCTAACAACCACCAAGCAACACCATGGTAACCACCCTCAAAACTGCATAGCAACACCCTATCAACCACTTAGAATATCCTAGCAATGCCCTGGATACCACCTATAACACCTTAGATACAATTACATACCTAGCAACCACCCTAGAAACCCCTTGTAAGTCACAGAGAACACAATAGAAATTACATAGCAATTCCCTAGTGACCACCCATAACACCCTATCAACTGCATAGCAACACCCTAGTAACCACACAGAATACCCAAGCAACTGCAAAGCCATGTCATTGGAAACCACATAGCAACATCCTAGTAACTATCCAGAAACCCTAACAACCACCAAGCAACGCCCTAGTAACCACTCTCGAAACTGCATAGCAACACCCTAGCAACCACCTACCACTTCTTAGCATCACGGCAGGATCTTTTGCGCAGGTAAACACTCACATTATCCTCACAACACATGAGAGTCTGGTTATGTCTGCTAACGAACGTTTATCTCATCACACAGGAACAGCACGATAATGACAGGACACATCAGAATCAATTACAGCTTTATGATTTACAATTACAGCCAGCAGCTCCAGTTTAGCCCTCATGAATTGGCGTTTGATTATTCACCCCCTCCCGACTCACTAAAGGATTACAGCTGTAATGTCAGCGCTCTGGGAATAATTGCTAGATGTGACGGGAGTCTGTACCCGTGAAAATGACCTGCGCAATCATCTCGGCACATTGTGATAATGGCCGATTCAGAGATTCAGCAGGGAAAGTGAATGCTAACACGCTGTTCTGACCGCCCGCTATTTTAGAGGCGTCGCAGATCTGAATGAAAATAGGCCTGATATCTGCACTCCCCTCCAGCAAAAGCATTGAGCGCTCAGAAGTGAGAAACATCAGAGCCATTATTCGTCGTCAGGGGCGTCACCTCCTTCACAAGCATAAAGAGGCTGCATATAATGCCTGTATGATGACTATTTCAGGGCAAATCAGAAACTAATCTGGTCCCCCATTAAGTTATGATAGTTAAAGGCACTTTCAGATTTAATTTCCCTTCCTATGACACCAGGCCTCGCTGTGGGTCTCTGACTTCACATGCCTTTTCACTGCCACTCAGACAAAAATATTCATAATGTCTAAAAAACTCAATTTTATCCTACACAGCGGTAAGATTGTATGGAGAGAAAATGGAGACTCGACAAGGTCTCAAACTGCTCAGATTTGCCCTGCATTTTGAAATAAATAATAAAAAAATAATAATTAAAAAAATCTGCTGATTTGCAATAAAAAGGGCCTAATATTACCTAAATTGATTATGATGAATTCAAGTATATTAATAAAAACTTTCCATCATGTAATTTTTTCACAAAATAAGTATGAAGATTTTTTAAATTATATATAAAAACTAAAACTTTAAACTTAAAGAACTAAAATTACTAAGACTGAAATAAAAATGAATTATTGATAAATATAGATATTAAAAATAATAATAAAAATTAAAAAGGCACATAAGATTACTTTAAATTTAAAATTACTAAAACAGAAATAAAAATGAAAATATTAAAATAACAAAAGGGAAAAATGTTAATTCAAATAAAACTGAGAAAAGAAAATATAAATATTAGATTGAACAAAATATGAATGAAGTTTTTTTTTCAAATCATAATATATGTATATATATATATATATATATATATATAAAATCTCAAAATGTCAATGTCAAATATTCAAAATACATCATTTAACTTACAATGTGCAAAAGAGTGGAAAAATATGTTCAAATACTCCATTTAATGTCAAAGAACTTTACATAAACACACATTTATAAATAAAAGAGCTTTTTTCACAAAATCTGTCATTTTCTGTGGCTGTTTGGATGCAGTAAAGCATAAAACATCAGGCTCGTGTTTGCATTTTCTTCTTTCAATAGCCATAATTCAGAATTATAAATAAAATAATGTGAAAATGGGCTGAGAATTGAACAAATAGCTATAATCTGGCTCAGATTCAGACAGGAATCATGTATTTGTCTCAGTTTTTTTCTGATTAAGGGAAAATACAAGACTTCTTCACCTTATAAATGGCTCTCGAAAGCAAAAATGCTACAAAATGCATCATATTTACTGACAACGTGTGGCGTGCTCCAGCAAAACAGGCTATTTTTGGAATCAGCAGCACAAAATTAGTAAGAAAGAAATATTGGATTTGATTCAGCATATATGATGCAGGGCAGTTTAATAGAGCAATAACATTCCTCCTGAGCGCCTGCCTCTCTTTTGGGAACAAATGAAAA